TCAGCCGAGGATCAGCCAAGGGCCAGCCGAGGGCCAGCCAAGGGCCATCCGAGGACCAGCCCATGGCCAGCCAAAGTTCAGCCGAGGATCAGCCAAGGGCCAGCCGAGGGCCAGCCAAGGGCCATCCGAGGACCAGCCCATGGCCAGCCAAAGTTCAGCCGAGGATCAGCCAAGGGCCAGCCGAGGACCAGCAGAGGACCAGCCAAGGGCCAGCACGGGACAGCCAAGGACCAGCCAAGAACCAGGCTCATCAAGCAAAAGTGGGGAAATTTTGAATAGGTCCTACTGTAAATGTTTGCCAAGGTTCACCTACCCATGACTGCGTAACTTTTCATCTCTCTGTCACAAACAATCTGCCTGAACGTTCATCCCCCCCTAATAAATCTGCATCAGATTTTAAAGTCTGAATTTGTTCAAAGTTTATTCCTAAAAGCTCCAGCAAGGCTTGTTTTTTTTGCCTTCATGCATCTGCAGATAACAGTTCCTCCCTGATACCATCTCTCCATTGAAGAGAGTAACATGAACCACAAGACATCCTCCAACCTGATAGGTAAGGAGCAATAGTCAACATGGTGGCTACAACGGCCTTCTATGTACAACCAGACGTCTTATCTGGAGTTTTTTCATTAAAATTAACAAAACACAAATTATATAATTTCTTTTCTAAGCTGGAAGCAAACAGAACACATTCCACCATCTTGGTTCCAGACCTACCCCGCTGACCATGAGGAAAATGGCACAGTTGTCTGTGACTGTTCGCACAGAAATATCAAAGCGTATGACGGGACCAAACTTCGCTCTTCTCTCGATGTTGCTGATGAGTGCATAGCCCGTTCCGTCAAACAGGTAGCTGGCGATGCGACTCTGGGAGAAGGCCAGCTTGTACCTGTCAACATAGGAGAAAGTTCAGGTCAGAAGCGAAAAACAGTTTTTGTTTAGTCACCTTTAGGTTGGAACATGAATGAATTCCAGTATCTGCTTCCAGTTCTCTGATGACTGTGTCCCTGCTTCCATTTTAGTCATGCTGCTGGGTTCTGTCTGCTTATCCTGTTTCTTGCAGTTTGCCCAGTGAGTTCACCTAAACTAACATTGAACCCCAGTCAGCCTCAGCAGATGGTCGCTCACACTGAGCCTGGTTCTGCTGGAGGTTTCTTCGTGTTTAAAGGGAGTTCTACACTGTTGCTACAAGCATGCTTAGTGTGAGGGATTGCCTTTGAGAGAATTAGTTGATGCAATCAACAGTTTTTTCTTAGATAGAAAACTTTGATCTGACTGGATGATCTGGTGAACTGTAAAGTGCCTTGAGATGACATGTGTTGTGAACTGGCGCTATAGAAATAAACTGAATCAAATTTAATTAATCATGTGAATCTCTCTCTGCAATTGTCTTCAGATCCTAAAGACTCCAGAGCCAGAATCTACTTTTCATTTATTAAAGAATCTGTGTGGCTCTATCTAAGGGAGCAAACTGCCCCATATATGACCCTGCATGTAGAAGCAAAGACCCAAAGACCCGCAGATGGATCTATAGAACATGGATCTACAGTATGGAGTGTTGACTGAGCTAAATACAGAGATGCTCATCATATTTCAGATGTCATTCTGTTTCAACCAATGAAGCAAGACAATTTGTGGTAAAAGGTAAAGACGTGAGTGTTTAGATAATGCTGATATGTACCTGGGACAAGGAGGTGAGACATTTTTTAGGTGAGTCTCTTTAAAGTTGTACAGGCTGATGACATCGTTGTTGATAGAAGCCAGCTCGATGCAGCCCACGAAAGGAGCGAGAGTCAGAGGAGGAGGCAGCTGGTTCAAAAAAGAAATAAAATGAATGAGAACAACATTATGCACCATTTTTCGGGTGAATTTTGTTCCATTACTGTCGCAAGCAAAGAATATATTTTGTAAATGGACTTTTGAGAAAGCATGTTTTTTAAACTGAAATTTGAAGACTGCAATCCAGAAATGAAACTTTGAAAACTTACGCATTTATTCTCGTAATTAATTTTTTAAAAATTTTTAAATCCATTTTCTTTCAAGATTTTATATTTTTCAGTTTTATTCCTAATTTCCTAGTTTTTCAGATAGAGTTTTACAAACTGCATTATTTGCTTTTCACAAATTATATTCCCTTCCCTTTAACCCAAATACAAACACTAGCTTTTAACCAATGAAATGTTTTCGCTAATTTCCATGAAGACCAATAGAAATGCTTCTTTGCTCTTCACTACAAAAAGATTGGTTGGGTGGGGGGGTTGGGGAAATTAAGCAACTTTGTCAAAATCGTTACCTTGACGTCTGGGGGGGCACCTCCGATGAAGAACGCCACATTCTTGGGGTCGATGTCGAACAGGGAGTCGGTGATGGGAGCGTTGCCTTTCTGGATGAATTTCTGCTCATCTGTGGATCCCTGACTGGGAATAGTCAGGTAGATTTTTCCATGTCGTCCCAGCCTTCAGGAACAAGAACATAAATGAGCCTAAATCTAATGCACATGATTCAGAATCTGCTTTTCCACTGTTTTACAAGGTGCATGTGGCCTTAAGACCAGCCTTTCTGACACACAGGGAGCCTATGTGAACGTTCTACCTCATAATAATGATGTTTTACTGAATTGAACAGAGATGTAATGAACTGGGTCCCTTAAGCCATACTGTCATTTTAAGTAAGGACTGAAACATTCAGTAACTTAAAGCTTTCTGCTGTCACAGTGGCTCCTTTTTTCCTTATGCAACAAAAAATCTCTGCAGTAATCTACCAATCAGTACTGTATGGTAGAGTGACTAGATGGAACCCCCTCTGGAACAGAAGGCAGAGAGAAGCCGGTCTGAAGTTCAACAAATGGCTCCTGAAGGACTCTCAGACCATGAGGAAAAAACTTCTCTGGTCTGATAAGACAGAGACTGAACTAATAAGAGTGAATGCTAAGCAGCCCATTACCGGGCCGATACCATCCCTACACAGAAGCACGGCGGTGGCAGCATAGCGAATTGCTGCTTTTTCAAATTGTGTTTTCCTGATTACATTCTCTTCAAATCTGGGGGCAAGCTTTCCTCTAAAGCAAGCCATAAAGATGCATTTCTATTTGTATGCAGGACATTGGCAGCAACATTTCTTATTGATCAATAGCGAATCGCTTTTTATGGGCTTAAAGTGAAGAGAATGTAATCTGTGAGATTCCACTTTATTTATCCCTTGGGATTACTCCTTCAGGGACAAACTATCAAGTGTTTTGCATGTTTTAAGTGTTTATTAGGTCATTAAAGGAGCAAACTTCTTGCTAAATTGATCAGATTATTTTATCAATAATCAACAAACTTTGTTCCAGGTGTTCTGTGTTTGCTCTGGCAGCTGGTTTACCTTTCTATTTTGATATAGTTAAAGACCGCCGGCCACTGACTGACAGGCTTGGAGGACAGCGGGATTTCAACGTCGTCACGTCCCAGGTTGTAGACAAACACCAGCTTGTCGTTCTTGATGGCCAGGCCCATGTAGTCCTTCTTGCCCTGAAAGCAGAAACAGACACAAATCATTCTCCTCCAGTTTCATTACTTCAGCTGGATCAATTAAAGCCACGTTTCATGTCTCTCTCTGCTGCGAGGAGAGGCAGCAGAGAGATTACGGCTGAGGAGCCTCAAAGTGAGCGGATGTTCCGCACTTAGACTGATGGGAAAGACGTTGCAGAACTACTTCGTATACATTGGTTAGAAGCATCTAATATTATAATTGTCATGATTTTGGTTCTGTTTAAGTTTTATATCTGAGTTTTCATTGGTCTTAATTCCATTTTGTGTTCTAGTTATTTTTGATTGTATTTGAGTTCTTAGATATTTCTTGTTTGCCCTCTTGTGTCAGTCTCTTTTTATCCAGCTCCCTTCTTGTCTCCTCTGTTCACACCTGCTCCCAATCTGCTAATTAGCCTGGTCTTTGTTTCTCTCTCCCATATAATCTCCTCCTGTTCAGTCACTCTTTGCTGGTTTGTCGTCATTTCTTTGACCCCTTGTTGTGAGTATTGCTGGTTTTCAGTATTTTGAGCATTTATGTTTTTAGATTTTTGCTTCTGTTACCCTTTTGGTTAATTAAATATGGTAAGAAACTACTTCAGCTTCAGTGTCTGCATTTGGGTCCTGTCAGACCTACACCCCACCGTGTCAATAATATTAGTATCCAGTATTTATATTGTTGAAACACTTTACAGTATTTAATTTCTTTATTTTTAACTCTTCACTATTATGTTACTCTTATACAATTTTCTAAGGTCCACATTTATGTGACCATTTTTCTATAAACCTTTTTGCTGTAAACCCCTGAGCTTCCCCACTGTAGTACAATAGAGGGAGTTTCTATTCTATTCTGTCTCTAATCTAATCACCGACTGACAGCTGCTGCCTTTAATCGACGCATGTTATTTACTTTCTCACTGTTCTCACTATGTTTTGTTTTTTTCACATAGAAACAGTGGGATTATATTGCTGCTGTTGCTTTTTTCCTGGAATAGTAAAACCCCTGTTTATTTCTATTGCAAAGCATATTCTATTTTATTTAAGTTGTGTGTAAGCATGTTTCTCCTCGGCCTATTTATAAGATGAAATATTTAGCCTTTTCTTGGCCTAATAGGAGTGAGTTTTGAGAAATCTTGTACCAGCCTCTATGCTGTAATGTTTAAGGTAGGGTGACAGAAAGCAGGTGCCTCCTTACTCTGGACAAAGGTGAAATATAGATAACATGCAATCCAAGGTGCTTAAGGCTCCCTCCTGCCGTGAACAGAAGACAGCTGTTGTGAAATGTTTATCTGGCCGGCAAAAGATATTATGCAGAGATGGGATAGTTTCCAGGGAGAGAGACTGTATTGGGATTTGTACAGTATAAATGTGTGTGCTGGGCTTACCCCAGTAAGTGCTCTGTCTCTCCGTCTACGGACTCATAATAAATCTCTGTTTTTGCTAAAACTGCCTCTGCCTCAGCATCTTAACTCCACAGTTACTTGAAAAAACATTATTTTACAGCTTCATACCTATTTTATAACAGGTTAAAGGCTCTCAGGGTGCAAAACTATAAAATTCTAAAACATTTAATTTGCTTTCATTTTACTGTAATTGTGCAGTAACTAAGTAACAGCACTAACTACTGTAATTTACTTTGTAACTATAACTAGTTACTTTTTTCTAAAGTGATGTTAATAGCACTGAAATTAAACACCTTTAAAAGGGTAATTATTTTATATAAAGTGTGTAACAGCATATTTCATTGCTATCAATAAATACAAAATCATTTTAAATATACCTCTAAAAATTGGTCATTTATTCCGTTCATTTCTACACTGAGCTTTTCAGTTAGACAGAAAAAAAGTCTTAAAGTTAAGCTTTAAAACCTGTTTTATATATCAATTTGATTTCATCATAATGTGTTAAAACAAGTTATTTTCATAATAACGAATAATAATATGTCATTATGATTGGAAAAAAAATTCTATACATGTTTTCTCAATATTTCTGAGCCCCTGAGAGAGCATTAGAAGATTTATGGAGAGGAATAGATGAAGTCCGGCTTTGAATGAACACAGCTGAACATCTGTCTGCTGCGTTTCCTGGAAACCAGTAGGAAGGTCCAAACTTTTTCACCCCAACTGCCAAGATTACAACTAAATTTCCACGACTGCTAGCTGCTCTTTTGCTTTTTATTTTTGCCATATCCGCTGGATCTGAATCAAAGTTAACAGCTTTTCTCATACTACTAATGACCCTGAGCAACAAAACTGAATCCATGTGGATTTCTTACATTCCTGTCCCCCAGATAGAGGATGAAGCGGTCCTCTATGGGGTCTTTGTCTGGGTCCACCCTCATGAACAGGCTGATGGATGTCGACGTCTTCAGCTCCTCCAGGTTGCTGGGTGGCTGAACCTCCACTGAAGACTGTCCATTAAACTTCACAGAAACCTGAACCTGAGGCCACAAGGAATCAAAATGTGTTTGAGGAGAACAAACAAAGATAACAGGAGGATAGGTAACAGTGGACAGAAAGTGGACCACGATTTGGATAAAATCGTAGTCAAACACTTTTATTTGTTGTCCTAACTTACACCCAGAACAACAATGGACAGTCTGCAGGTTATTTAATTCAACAGCGTAAACTTATAACAGTGTAATTATCCTGGATCAGAAGGTTAAAAGATGCAATGGTTGGAACAGCCGTTTCCCTATGACTTTAAGTCAAAAATATGTAAAATTCCTAAATTATGAATCTAATTGACCTAATACGACATTTTTATTGCTGCTAACTCAGACAGGCCTCCTCTTTAAAATAGATTATATCTCAGTACGACTTCCTGACTAAATAAAAGTCAATGAATAATGAAAAACAAGGTTAGTAAATAGTCTTGTTTTATGCAGTTTATAATGATGTACTCCACTGTTACTGTGAAGCGGCATATAATCAAACACAAAGGCAGTGAACTGACTTTCTTGGCCACGCTCCTGGCTTGTGCAATGAGTTCTCTGATCCTCATGATGTTAGTGGTCACGTTGTTGACAGGCTTCTTCTCTTCAACCACCTTCAGCTTGTCCAGCAACTCAGGGACGAGCACGTTCAGGTTCTCCACTGCAACACACACAGAGGAACCATGTGACGCATGTGCAGCATAAATATCCTCACCACAACAACGACGTTTGTAGGACCTAGTCCTTTATTTGTGAGGATATTACCTCACAATAACATCTTTCACTACTAATAGGGGAGTTGCGGCCTAGTGGTTAGGGCATAGAGCTTGGAATCCTGAGGTTCTGAGTTTGAACCCCACTCCCACAGACTGCCACTGTGGGTCTCTGAGCAAAGACCTTTAACCCCACACTGCTCCCTGGGCGCTGCACAATGGCAGCCCAGTGCTCCCCAAAGAGATGGGTTGCAGAGCGTGAATTTCTCCAATGCTCCAATAAAGTTCAATTATTATTATTAGAATATTATTACATTGAAGACTAACAAATTCATTGATAATCAGAACACAATACAGAAATCTATTTACCCCAGCTCTGGAGCCACAATCTTAGCTCTGGACTCAAAGTTTGGCCCCGAGCAAAAGATTTCCCCCCTTTTTATACTCAGCAACACCCTGTCAGGATGCAAACACACCCCACCCACAAAGTTCCCTAATAAGGTGATATCTGGCAGTGATATGGTCACCCTGCATGTAACATAAAGCAGAGTATACAGTATACAAAAGAAGCCAAAAGGGTTGCTAGTTGTAAACTCTTTGAGCAGGACCCTTACCCCCAGGATGCTCCATGTTTGCTACTCTCTGATGGATCGGTTAGATGCAGAGGTACAAAGTAAAGGGATTTTTATTAATACTATCAAATAACTTTTTACCTGCTTCTCCAGCAGACAAAACGGCCTTTTCATATGCAGCTGTAGAGTACTCGCTGTTTCTCATGTTTTGAGACCACTGCTGCACTCGTTCGCTGATGGGAGTGATGGTCTTCAGGACTTCTGTGGAGCGGATGAGAGTCTCCTCTGCCACCTCCAAGGAGAAGTTCAGGCGCTGGGGGGTTCTGTCTGTAAATGGTTGCAGATTAATGGGAAAGATGAGCGGAACTACAGTCAGGAGGACAGGATAAAGGCAGAGTAAGAGGTAACTTGCAGCTGTGACATGTTTTACCTAATAAGCAGTACTCGAGTTGAGGGGTGATGAGGGGGTATGGCTGTCCTTTCTTTAAAAAAATCTTTAAAATCATCCCCTTTCTTTAATAACCACCCCCCATACCATCACCTGTGACATTTTACTACTGAAAGTGTAAAGTTTCTACTAGTAATGGCAAAAATATTGACCTTTCAACATTTGGCGGGCTGAGGGCTTAAGGCCAATTTTATGCTTGTGACGCCTAGCCTCTGCAACCGTCAAATCTGTCTCTGTGAGTGACCACGCCCCCACACAGAGGTTCTGCAACCGTCGTCGCGCACATCAAAAAAATCCTGACTACGCATCGGACAGTCGCAAACTCGCGCAGACCTCCAGCGGAAGTGCGCACACAAAAAGCAGCTGTGATTGGTCCTTGGTATGCCTTTCCGGCTGTCTTTTGGTCGTCCTTCTCGATTTGGTTCCGGGGCACGCCATTTTTAAAAACAGAGGAACAACTACAACGGACAACTACGACGAAAGGTTAATCAAGGAGGTATGATCCATTAGCAGAACCTGTTACTCTTTGATGTCTAGCAACTCTAGATCCATCTCCTTGACCGTGATATCTTGCAGGTGCACCATTGTTGTTGTTTTAAGATAAACACTCCCGCCGGCAC